TTGCATAATTCATATCGAAATATTGCAGAAATCAATTACAAAACAATCTTCGGCATACATTTTTCTGGCTGTGTATGTATGTGTGTACGCAACCCAGTAGGAAATCATGGGTTTATGTATGGCTGAACAAATAAGTTAGCAACTTTCTTAAGTACACGAAAGATTTTTATATACGAGTGTATATATATATTTCTCAAAATCTAGTGGAAAATCGTATGAATCTCTGAAATTTCACATACCGTAACTAAAAATATTTTTTGGTGAAGTTCCTACAGCGCTGCTTCACTAAGCAGACCTTCAACATTTTAATATACGTTTACATGCTCTGTGAAAACAATAAATTTTAATTGAATTGTGCACAATTTGACATTGTTTTGTTTGGCTTACATGTAGACAGATAGTTATGTGACGCATTTGCCTTTTGCGATATGGAAAACAATCAATTAAATAACAAAGATTTTGTAATGTAAATTAAGTTAAAACAAAAGTGTATTTACTCTTATTTTCTTTTATTTACATACATACATATAAACATATTTATAAAAATTTCATCAATTTAGTATATTTTTGAGTCGAGGAAGCAGTTATGGATTTCTTCGAGTTTCTTTGAATTTAATTTGTTTATTAAACTTTTTACTTAGAGCGTATAGATATTTAGCTCAATTAACGGTTTTTTGTAAAATTATTAAAATATTATATGAAAACAATACGAACTGATCACGCCACAGTTAGCGCCTAAAACTATGCTAAAGCCAAACATAACAATGCACTATCGGATATTACATTATTCTTTTAGGTAATGATCCATGACCAATTTCGTGACGATAACTTGCATTATAAAAAAGTTTTCCATATAAGCACTTAATTTTGATGGTTCAGTTTGTCTGGCAGCTATATGCTATAGTAACTCGATCTGAACAATTTCTTCGAGGATTTAAGTATTGCTATAGGCAATAAGCCACGCTGAATTTCGTGAAGATATCTAGTCAAATGAAAAGTTTTCCACACAAGCAAAATGCAAAACAAAAAAAAAAAAAAAAAAACATTCAAAACTATATATTAGGTATATATTGCACTTGTATACTTGTAGGCATATTAATAAAAATATTACATATAACCTCAGTCTACACAATCGTTTAAAGCTAAAGCTACCAAAAACTGCCTATTTTTTCTCCTCATCTGCAAATAAAATTGTCAGCAAATTCCAAATAATAACGGTACTTTTGACGTGTTACCAAAAATAGCTTGCTTTTGCCTCCAACACCATAAGCCACACCCTATGACTGTGACTACTCTTTGCATTTTGCTTTCCACCTCAGCTTCTCATCTTATTTCAATGCCAGGCAAGCAGGCAGATCACTTGCAAATTAACTTGTTACATAATATGATATTTTGCTTCATCATGAAATATTCCAACCGTTACAAAGTATGCCCTGACTATGTGATGAAAACAGAAAAAATGAAATGCTGTGCAAGAGGCAGACGACAACGTGGCTGAGAACTTACTTTCGATGGCAGCAGGTTGCTTGCGAAAGTACATACATTTATTTGCAGCGGCGCAAGTTTTTCTTGCGGAAAATTTGCTTAAAATCTGGAAACAATAGAGCCGATTCTGAGTGTGTGAATATCGTATTTTCATATTTATTTTATTTGCTTCATATAGTAGGCGGTAAATTTCTGGTAAAAATATCACCATTACACATGCATAGTTGAGTCCACTATGTTACATGCTTACAAAAAATATTGTATTCTCTTATCTTTCATTTACATGGTACATATGTAGCTATTGAATTCCACATGCTCTCCTTCAGGGCGAAATATGAGACAAGTTTTGGAATAACAAATTTTACAGTTAAATTTGGAAATAATATGGCAATATATTTTGTTGAGTATGCATAAATAGAAAATGTGATTCAGTATTGAATATCTATATGTGTATATATGGATATATTATTTTAATAAAAGAAAGCTTACTCATAAAGAAAACATCTTTGCAATCGAGTTCGCTTGTATAGTAACTCTACTTGACTAAATTGAATAATTGTTTATGAGCATAAATGATTGGTTTCGATTATTGAACTTTTTCATTTATATTTTCTAACTTTTTAAAAACTTTCGGGTAGTAAACTGGTAAGTACTCAGTAAATATTGCTACTCTCGGGTAATAAGTAACCGTTTAATATTGCTACTCTCTGCTGTGTGCAAAGAAAATGCGTAACTAGAAGGTGATGAGTTTGCATGTGATGTGACAGCTTCATTCGGTATGACAGACTTGATGTCAGTTGACAATGTACACAGTGACGTCAAGCATAACTTGCGCACGCACTGGTGTCGTAACGCTGACACTTGCTTCATACTGCCGTTAGCGTGGGCGCTGCATATGACTGATATTAACAACCGAAGAACATGTTACAGGCAAAGAACCTTTTTACATCCGTTCAGTTGGGTATGCTAACTTCAACGATGGATATTTTGTATACGGTGGTAAAAGCTTCCTGATCTCCTATATTTAGATAGAAGAACGAAATGAGTTTTATAATCATGCCTAATGTATTTTACTCTCACTGTCAAAGTGTTATCATGAACTTTAACTCCAATCTATTGTGTTCGAAAGTATTACTGTTTGTAGTGATATTTAATGGATTTTTCAATAGGTATGTTACAAAAGTAGACCGATAGGGACAGCAAAGGACGCCCTATGTTTTCCTGCTCTTTTGACATTTCTCTTCAGTAAGGTTTGCCATTTCACCATCGAAAGATATACGAGCCAATAACGAGTCGAGATTATTAAAATGTATTACCAAAATTCGGAGTCCTTTTTATGCTCATCCCAATCGTCCTCTCAGATCAAAAATTAGGCATCTGGTGGAAAAATCGAATCCGAAGGCACAATATAAAAGGTGCCAGTGAGATAAGAAAGTGCCCGTAGCGTGGAGAATATTGCTGCCGCTAGCGCATTAATTGAGTAAGACTCAAGTCTCTCACACGTCGTTCTGAAGCGTTGAGCATCTCTGTAACATCGTTGTGGCGATATTTGCGAAAAGATCTTGGTCTACACGCTTAAAAGTTGAAATCCACGCAAGAACTGAAGCCGCTTAACCATCAGAATCGTCGTGTGTTCGTGAATTGGGTTGATGAGCTTCGTACAAATATCGAACGTGAAATTGCAGTAGTATCAGATTTATGCTTGAAAAAATATTTATTTATTTTATTTATTTATAAATGTGAAAAAAATAATACAATTATTTTATTTACACGAAAAAAATGGGCACTGGCTGCCAGGACCTTCGACTTTGAAAAAATATAATAACATAACAATATGTCCTGTAATCAATATATCCAGCATAAGTACTATCGTTTTGACTGACCGTGATTAAGTAGTGAGGTTATGATCCTCACACTGCAGTCGTGTTGTTCACAAAATTTTGTAAAAATATAAAAGCCAAGCGGAAATAGTTGAAAATTCTTTGGAGATTATTTTTATGCATTTGTCGTTGTAACTAATATTGTATATTGCATGCAATAGATATGCTAGTAGGCAGAGGCAAATCAAATATGCAAAATTGCACGAAACCATGCAACATATGAACACCTACGAGTTGTTAGCGCAAAGAAAAAATCCTCTTTTATTATAAATAAACACGCCTACATATTTATGCACGCAAATATGCGGGTACAATAGTTGTAGCTAGCTGCAATTGTCGAATTCGTTATTTCAGCGGAAACAGGCGTCGGTATGTGTATCGGATTTCTGAATTATACAAAGCTTGGCTGCAGTGAGTTTACAGCTGCAGCTTAATTTTGGAAATAAATTTTTAAGATTTTTGGCATACTAAAGTACAATGAAAAGCTCTGATGTGGCACTAAACTCCATAGGGGGTTAGCTAAAAAATAATAATTATGCTTTTAAGCAAGTAAACTAATAAAAAGAAAATAATTCTTGGTGCAAGCAAAGACCGAGCTGGCGTATGTGAAAGCATAATGCCTAAATTCAGTAAATGCTCTGAAATAACAATAAAATCGGCTAACTATTTTTAGTCCCACATATTGTCACCTAAAATGCAAAACCACTTATCATCAAAAGAAAAACAAAGAAATTGAGTTTTTTATTAGATGTGATACACTACGTCATGTTACATATGTATATGTGGCATGAAATTTTCAGTTTCCGCTCTCGATATAACCAACATATAACCATATTATAACCAAAACTCAAGTTTTGTTTCAATATGAGTGGTTTCTATTATTTTTATTTTTTTCGCCTATAAACTTAAAAAAAGTAAAGTTACGATATTTTGCATTTTAGGTGACGATAAGCTGTCGTGCAGAAAAACAAAAAATTCCTAGGCATTATGTACTTGTAGTACTTCTGTATATTTTGGCTAGCCCTTTCCGATGGAATTGGTTTGCAGATAATTCTTATGTATTTTGGAATAATATGCGCCGAAACATACATTGTTTTAAAGTGTGCATTAGTGATGAACATATAATATATGAAAACCAAAGTGTGAGCGTAGACAAGGCTACCAAGAACGGGTTGACGCACTGCGAATTTCTGCTGCTTGCAAAACAAAACACGCAGAGAGTCTAATGCGCGTGTACAATATCGCCCCGGTGCTGACTTTCGCCAGCAGAAACTGTCGATCTGGTGGGCAGTAAACTACTGAAACTGACACAGCAACGCTTTAAGCGCAAAGTGATATCAATATCTATCGAGAAATATAAATATATTAAAATGTCAGAACAACCAAACCTATGTTTAACTCAGGGAAAGATAACAATTTTGTAACCAAATGCCGTGAGAGCAGTTCTTATCAGTTATTTAGTAATTAGTTGCGGTGTATGGAATGCGTCGGTAAGTACAAACTGCTTGTAGTGCATATGTAACTTGTAGACACGGAACAGGAAATCTCAAGTGCTTTTCCGGTATATTTTTACGAAATGAATAGTAATTAGTGGCTGTGTAGCTGATTGGTGTGGCATATAAAAATAGCTGCCTACTTTGCGTATCGTCAGTATCCGAAATAAGGTTCGTTCATCACAACCGATTCGGCAAATAGAGTAGTGCAAAGATGAGACCACGTAAGTTTTCTTCGAATTGCGCTTTAACCTTTACTATAGCCGTAAATGTCTGTTTGATTTTTCAGTTTACTTTCTACTGCTAGTATTTGCTGTGGGTCCACAAACCCTTACGGCATGTGCTGATCGTAGAAGACCGGATTGTTCATCGCATAGTTCTGGGGAACTTCTGCCGGACGAACATAGCTGCTATCGTTACTACATCTGCAGACGTGGCAGAGCTATAGCGCGTAGATGTCGCAGGGGATTGCAATTTGATTTTGAGACTAAAGCTTGTACATTCCCTGAACTTGCTAAGTGTTATGTAAATCGGGAAACACATCATAATGATGATGGAGAAAAAGAGTACCCCTTTTATTTTCCGGAACCATTTGAAGAACCATCATGTATAACAACACCACCGCCGTGCGTTACAACACCACCGTGTGATACAACACCACCGTGTGATACAACACCAACACCATGTGTAACAACACCAACACCATGCATAACAACACC